ACTCTTTCCTGCAGTTTTTCCTGCCGCTCCACTCTCCCAATCCCCAAACCAACCACCAACCACCCTTCCAACCTGCCTGACAACACTCAACTTTCCCCCTTACACCTTGCTGCCTTACCGACGCTAACAACCCTCGGATACTCTCTTCCGGTCCTAGCTGGAGAGTGGTTTATTATTGTATTTTATTTTTCGTTTGTGTCATGTTGTAATCCTAATTCAGTGCTAATAAAAAATTGCTTTGTGTTTCTGCTGATTTTCTAACTAGTTTTGATATCTGTGAGACATTCTAGTTTTTGCACATAATCTCACCTTCTATAACAAGTAAAATAATGTCTTCTTATCTCATTGGTGTGAAGGGCATAACTTAATGCTTGATACTCTGCAGTTATGCAGGATTTGGGAAGGGGTTTATGTACAGTCTTACTACTTAATTGTATAGAGGCTGTTTTCATTACTTTATGATCTCCAGATGATAATGGAATCAACCATAGCTCCTTCCCACCATCTTTGTTCACGGATTAATAAAAAAAAGAAAGAGTCTATTCATAAGTAATAAGAGCATGTTCAGATGAAAAGTGCAAAGAATATGAAGGCTTTATTTAGTATCATCTTTGACAGCTTTTATTTAAATGTTTTCCTAGCACCTTTCACCAAACGATATCATGGAATAATTGATGAGCTTCTCTATTTCTTCTTAAATGCTAATTTCTAATCGAGATACTTGGCTTTTATCAAATTCCAAATGATTTGATCGTGGCATATATAATTACATCGGTTCAGTAGTTCAAAAAAATAACATTGGTGCTAGTTTTGTAAATGCATAAGTTTTGAGTGTTGTCTGTAATTATCCCTTAGTCATGTATTTTCCAGCAATTTGTAAAGTCTATCAGACAACAGGTGCATCTCAGAAATGTTTCAGCAGATGTTCATATATGTTTTTTCATACCCATGGGTAAAATTTCATGAAATTTTTTGTGATGCTAACTAATGACATGGAGCTTTGGATGCCAATTAATATTGAAAAATTTTAAGGGAAACTTGCTTTGAAATCTCTATGATGTTTGTAATCTATGGCTAGCTAGGGAGGTACTGCATACATTTAGGTGGCAAATCATTACAGAATTACAGAACTCTATAATGGTAACTTCAAGTAGTGATACTAGTACTAGTTAAAAGTGGATTTTGACATCAGAATAAACAAACTTTATGTTAAGATATTTGACAATGATTTAATTACCCAATACCAAGTCGTGTCTGTGGTCTCTTTCTTATCTTTCGTGGAATCATTTTTGCTTTTAAGATGCTTTTACTTTTAATTGGCATGGGTAACAGTCCGTATGGACACAAACTATATAAGACAGTTAATGATCTGTGGAAGTTTATTTAGATTTTAATTTTTTTTATATAGGCTTGTGAATGCATGCGGATGAAAACTAATGTAAATTATGCTATATTTAAATTTTTCCCTGAAGATTTTTTTTTTCTTCTTGCAGTTTGACTGCCTGAAGGGTGTCAGTTATATGGAGGTACTCTCTTAATTTCAATATGGCGTATGGTGCATTCTGATTGAATGGTCCCTATATTTGATTTCTTAGAAGTTTTGTTATTTTTCATTAGAAAAATTACTTGGTAAATAGCTTCCATTCTTGCTACATTAGAAGTTTGTGCTGAGATATCAGAATCATTTATATCCTCTTTTTTTTTTATAAAAAGTATTCAAAATAGCATGCTCATCACTTAATTTTTTGATAAGATCCCAGATGATTTTTTCACAGAAATTAGGGCTAACGAATATTTTATTGCAAGAATATTGAACAACTCAACACGAATACATAAGATAAGCACCCACAATTCTAGAGGTAGGTGATCTCTCCCAAATTCTATAATTCGAGAGGCAGGAAATCATTCCCAAACCCTAACCCTAATACTCAAGACCCAATCTCATGCATAATCTTAACCCTAATTATATTAGCCCTATTGATACTTAACAATAATAGATAATAAAAATATTAAATTGCCCTTAGGCTAGGAACGGCGTAATACTTTGCTAGATAGTTATTTATTCAATGATATGCGCCTAATTTTTGTTTGTAGTTATTCCATGGAGAGTATTGATGTGGATGAGATCAATTATATTTTGTAAATCATACTTTTTGTGATCCGTTAGAGCAGAAGTGCATAGTGAAAATGCATGTGGAAGAATTTATTACATGTTCCTTTATTTGACATACTTGTCCAAATATTGCAACATTATATGTTAAATTGCTAAAGGAATATAATGATGATTCGTGCCACCCGTTTAAGAATACCTTGCAAATATGAATGTAGAATATGCTTTGTTGCTTATTTTGTTAGAAGATTAGAATTTGTAGACTTAAATGATTTACTTGTTTATATAAAGATACATAAAAGTTGAATGAGAGGGCCCAATAGAGGAACCATACCCATACAATACCAAATACAGTAATACAACAAAAAGATACAGAAGACTCAAAAAATTAAAACATGCAGAAAACAAAAGCTAGGGACGAGTCAGTTTAATCATGCCTCTTCCTCTAGTTTTAGGAGTGGAGCTAGATAACAGACTTTGAAGTGTCATGTCATTGTCAAGAGCAACCAATATATCATCCATTAAATTTCCAAGTTGGAGTGTTCCCCTAGCCTTCTTCTTCCGCCGAGAAGAGTAAACCTGCCATTCTTTATCAAAAGACTGACTCGTGTGATCATCGGTCTGATTTAGAACCGTAGTAGAAGAAAAAACAGTCATTGTCATAACGATAGGTTCCAGTGTTTGTGAAGTATGAATTGTCACCACTGCACCTGATGCTTCCTGAATAGGGACATTATTCATTGTAGTATGGTCAGGAGAAGAATTCCTAGGGGCAGACACCAACTCCTGTCTTATAGTGATTCCCTCCTCAGGTTGGCAGTCATCTAGTTTGTTAGAAGCATGTTCAGGCTCGTGGGGTGCACTAACAACACGTTCCTACTTTTGACTATTAATTCTCAATTGTGGGTGTAATCTAAAACATTTCTCTTGCGGGTGTCCAAACATCTTGCGGTGTTTGCAATAATATGATTTTTGTTCCATAATGATTTTTTGTCAATAACCATTGTGAGTAGAGCCAAGTCAGACTTCTTCTACATCTGGTAGAGTAATCTCCCTTTCAATCAAAATTTTTGCAATAGAGGGTCTTGAGAAATGAACTTTGGGTAAATCTACCTGTAAAAGTTTTTCAAGGATAGTCTCAATTGCATATAAGATAGGTAGGTCAAAAAATTGAAGTTTGAGTTCAGGTAATGAGAATCAGATAGGTGCAATTGGGGATAGGTGCAATAAATCATGAGTCCATTTGAGCAATTTCATCTGTTTTCCCTCGATTGTGATGAATTTCTTTGAGAAAATTTTTGTGCAGTCTTCTTCTATACTCAGTTGTATCATAACATGTCTTTCATCGAAATGACCCACCTGTCAAACCCTAACTAGTTTGAAATATTCAAAAACCTTCATGATAGTTTCCATCTTAGGGCAACCTAATTGGAACTTTTCCACTAGAGTAAATTTGTATTTTCCTCCACGAGCTGAAATTTCAGCGTCAGAAAAATATTGTTGGTTTGGCTGTCTTTTTCTCTATTTGATGAGATTGCAATCTCCATATCCTGCAACAGAATCATGATACATCTGGGGGAATATTGAACTATCTACGAGGTGGAAATGAGAGCTGCATTTGTGAACTACTGTAGCATATGAGGGTTTAGTGGGGTTATCACCAGCGAGGGCGGCGGCGTAGGAAAGCCCTGAGGCCATCACCGTGGCCAGTGCCAACAACAAAGCCCGGCTCTGTCGCAGACAACGCAGCCGTCGAGCAGAAGCAGGGTCTGTAGACTACGCACCAGATAGCTATGCCGCTAGACGAAGCAGACGACGCGAGAAACGACGATAGTTGTCGAGTAGAAGCAGATGACGTCGAGAAGGCATGTCGACGCAGCTGTCGAGCTGAGGCAGAGCCTTATATCGGGTAGCTCTGCCGCCAGACGAAGCAGACGATGCGAGAAGGCATGTCGACGACGCAGGTATTTTGCAAACTGAAGACGAAGGCGAGTTTTTCCAAAACGAAGGCGGACGCGAGGCGCTAGGGTTCATCATGCGAAACCCTAACAGAGCGGAGCGACGACATGCAGGAATTTTTTTTTTAATATATATATTTAAAAAAAAAGCCTGTTAATTCATAAAAGAGAGAAGATACAGATATGTTGTGTGGGTGGACCCAAAAATAGGCACCCAACCTACACGGTACAACACACAAAAAAGTCAAAAAAGTGTACATGTAAAAATAAAAAATCCAAAACCACTAGGGCATTGAAAAAAGAGAGTCATCTCAATCTAGTCTTACCTTTGGCTCTATTCCTCTGAAGGGATCCAGCTAACAAGTTGGTAAGGTGTGTACCATTACCCGAAGTAACCAAAGTATCATCCATAAGACTCTTGAGCTCAAGTAGATCTCCATTCTTCTTCTTCCTCCTGGAAGTGTAAACTTGGCATTCCTCATCCAAAGAATCAGTCTGATGGGGTGGTAGAATTGTAGCAGAATGATTACCAACCGTAGTACCCACAATAGGTTCTGGTATATGTGAAGTATGAGTTGTCTCTACACCGGATACTTCCTGAAGAAGGGGAGTTGCGAGGTTCTCCTGATTATCAGTCCAAACACTATCTTTTGTAAGTAATAGTCCTTCAGTATTGTTTTCTATGGGGTTTGAAGGTGCCAACATCACATCAATCTCAGTAACAGTAGCAGCAGTATCATTGGGGGGGTTCGCAAAGGCAACAGTCACCTCCTGCTGGTAGTATCCTCCCCAGGTGGAACTAAAATGTCCAGAGCAATGGGGTTAGACACTTTCTCATTCACTTGAACCTTGGATTTCAAATTAGGGTGGAGCTTGTGGGATTTATCAACGATATGCCCAAACATCTTATAGTTGGTACAATATGGAGGCCTATGTTTCATGACGATTTGTTGCCAATATCCATTATGAGTTGTGCCCAGCCAGACTTCAGTAACATCAGGTAAAGTAATATCCCTTTCCACGAGTATTCTGGCCTCAGAAGGTCTGGTTAGATTGAAAGTGGGTAAATCTAGCTTCATAGAGTCCCCAAGGATGGCCCCAATAGAGTAAAGAACCTAATGATGAAAAAAGTGCAGCTTGAGACCAGGTAGACTAAACCATATCGGTACAGTGAGAGTTTCATGATTTGAGTCAAAATCAGGAGATCACTTGAGTAACTTCATTGATTTGTCTGCAATATTAAGATATTTCTTGGAGAAAATTCGGATGTAATCTTCAACCATGATTAGTTGAATCAACACATATCTCTCAACCATGAGTCTCACTTTCCACTTGCCTACAAGTTTAAGATCATCAACACTTTCTGATAACTTCCATAGGTGGATGCCCCCATTGAAATTTTTCAATAAAAGCAAACTTGAATTTGTCCATTAGGGTTGAGATTTTTGCGTCAGAGAAGAAGATTGTTGTTTTACCACCTTCCTAGTTCTCTTCTTAACAAAAGGGCAATCATCTATACCATCGCGACAATCCTTATAGCTTGAAGGGAAGACCACCGTGGACTCCATCTGAGGTTACCCGCCACGTGAGCAATAAAGACTTTGTCTGGTTCAACCTAAGAAGAAAGAAGCGCCATGAGAATAAGGAGAGTTGTCGGCGTTCCTGCCTGAACGCAGAGAGGAAGAGTGTCGGGCAGGGAGAGAAATTGTTGGGCAAAGATGCAACAGAAGAAGAAGCATCGTCGAAACAAATTGTCGGGCACTGATGCAGTAGGTGCAGCGTCGAAAACTAGTAGCAGACGCGCGACGCAGGCGACAAATCTGCGATAAAATCACAAGTCGCCGACGCATACGCTAGCCACTGAGCGAGAGTTGACGAAACGTGTGGGAGCCCCCTCTCCTTTGAGCAGTAGAATCAAATGTGACCAAATTAGTCATCGGATGCCCTAGCAGAGCTCTCGACCGAAATCGCCATCTCCTAACATATATATATATATGTGTGTGTGTGTATGTGTGTGTGTGTGTGTGTGTGTGTGTGTGTGTGTGTGTGTGTGTGTGTGTGTGTGTGTGTGGATAGGCGCATGATTTGTAGTGCTGTGCTCGCTCATTTAAATTATTGTCTGTATGAGATTGGTAAGTCTTGTATTTTCAAAATTAAAATACTTTTTTTTCAATATATATATATATATATATAAAAGCCCAAGGGCTAATATATTAAAGAATAAAAGGTACAGATAGGTTGTATGAGATACCTAAAAGAAGGCTCAACTCACACAATACAATACTCACAAAAACCCAAAGAAGCAAAGATACATAAAGATAAAAAATCAAAAATCCTCCAACAGGCACAAAAGTGCTAGGGATGTCCCACTTTAGTTCTTCCTCTGCCTCTAATTCTCGGAAGAGAACCAGCTAACAAATTATCATGACCCAAAGTAACAAAGTATCATTGTTGACCT